GGGAGGCGCCGTGGCTGAGGCAGCCGTGAGGGGCGCCCGCTCCTGTTGCACCCCAGAGACCTTCTCCCCCCGCCAGGAACCAACAAAAACCCGCCACGTTTTTTACTTGATTACACGAATTCAGTTTATTTCGGCATTCAACAGAAGAGAGAGCCTTCAATAACAATTAAGTCAGTTTTCAACATATACATGGTCTGTTTCCCATAGAACAACGTCACCCGTTGCTTTTTTTCTTTCTCGGGGTAGGGATGGAGATAACAGCTTAGACTTACCCCGAACTAATTTTTTCTAATTAGCTACAAAGATAAAGGTTTATTGGTAAGGACAGGCTGCTTATCTCTCCTAGAGGAAAAAAAAAGGCAAAAATTGTGTTGCTTTTCCACAATTCCCTGATACAGAACAGATGGTAATTCCCGCCCTCCCCAAATCCTGAAGAGCTGATAAACAGCTTAACATAGAAACAAGTTAAAGAACTAAAGCAAGGACCATGTTAAATCCACGCAGTGACCGCATCCAGCGGAGTTAAGGAAAAAGGAAAATGTGCGAATGCAGAGCTACAGCAGGTTATTGAAACTGCTCTGTAAAATAATGCATCTTTTAAACATTTTCTAGTGGAGAAAGGTGGTCAAAGCTTCCATGGGACAGTGAAAGCAGCACTAACCCCTCCAGTGGTCCCATCTACACAACCACGTGGAGACAACATGTCCTGTGACTCCCATCTTCCATGCTGGATTCATCCCCTAACTCTGGCAACTCCCACATTAAATGGACTGACACTGTCTGTCTTTGTGTAGGCAAACCATAACAGCATCAGTAAAAGGAGGTAAAAATTTTTTTTAATGTCAATAATTAAGAAATAGATAAAAAATAAGGCAAACAGAGATGTTCTGAGCCCAGAGGCTCAAAACACACATCCCCTCCTAACCTGGGGTTGTTCACATTTGATAGCTGCTTCAAGAAACAACCCAAATGTCTGTTCTAGACTTTAAACACTGGGTTGTTTTGCACTAACAGCCTCTGCAGTAAACAGCATTACAACAAATGACCGTAAGAAAGAGGGGGGGGAAAAACAAAAACAAACTGCACGACTGTACAGATATAGAGAAAACACATTACAAATCCCCATGTCTATGAAGCATATTTAAGCCTGGCGTTCTAAAGTTTCTTTTGCTGTTTAAACATCGCCAGGGGAATGATCTGAGGTTTGTGCAGATAACTGAAACCCCTCCTGCAGTCTCCACCAGTCTAGTGATTAAAATGTAAAGTTTCTGCTGCACGTTTCTGTTTTCAGGGCAGAGGGAAGAAGGGCAGAAGTACGTTTCTTTCTGGAGTCTGTAACACCATCTGGTGCTATCTGAAGTCACAAATCCAAGCTGCGGTATGGTCACGAGTCTATTTTGTCATCAGGAAGCAAAAGAAAAATTGATCTTTGCCGTTTATTAAGCAAACACCCCTGAGTAAAGAGGCTGGTATCCACTTTCTTCTTTCTTGCAAGTCAGCACACAGACACTCAGCATGCCAAAGAACTGGAAAGAGAGAGTGCCCAAGAGATTTAGTGCTGTGTT